TTGGGGATTGCATTACAGACACGGTCATGTGACTTTCTGTTGTGGAGTAGAGAGAGTCAGTAAGAGGAATAGGAGGGCACGTGGTGTCAAGAAAAAAAAAATGAAAAAAAGCAATAAGACCAATAAAGGGAACATTTTGGCCGTGTAGTTAAAAGGAGCTCGGGTAACACTCAGGGGCCATTTAAACCCTCTCCCTGCCTATAAAAACACCAAAACTACCTTCATTTCAGCTTACCTGTTGACTCCAATGCATGTTAACAAAATGGCAAATTATTGCTGAAATCTCCCAATTGTTTGCTGACATTTCAGGGAAATTTAAATTCTTCATTTTGCTCATTCCTATTAGCAATGTGTTAAATGGTGAGGCTGCATGACTTATTATCCAGCCAACGCAGCTCTAAGCTAGTGGTGGCCATATTGCATCCCACAGGCTGGTTGTGGCCCTTTGCTTGCATTTCACTAACCTTTGGGACACTATTCCTCCCACTGACACCAGTGATGGGACACTATTCCTCCCACTGACACCAGTGATGGGACACTATTCCTCCCACTGACACCAGTGATGGGACACTATTCCTCCCACTGACACCAGTGATGGGGCACTATGCCTCCCACTAACACCAGTGATGGGGCACTATGCCTCCCACTAACACCAGTGATGGGGCACTATGCCTCCCACTAACACCAGTGATGGGGCACTATTCCTCCCACTAACACCAGTGATGGGGCACTATTCCTCCCACTGACACCAGTGATGGGGCACTATGCCTCCCACTAACACCAGTGATGGGGCACTATTCCTTCCACTTATACCAAGGACAAATGTAACAAACAATGATGTAAACTACGTATAACAAATAAATATTGCAAATATGTAACAAGTGTTGCACAAGCTGGGATGAGTCATACAAATGTAACACTTTGCTCACAGTATAATGCCTGACTCCAGACAAGTTTTGGTTTGAAAGAGAGAACTCCAAACAGTAGGGGCAGCAAAATCGAGGACAAAAGGTCCCGGGAGAGATCGGACTGAGTGCAGTATTTTATAGTACAAAGCTATAGATACGTATATAGAAGTAAATATGTGAATAAATATCAATAAATGTAGAAGAAAGAGTGTGATACTCACATGGATAGGTTGCAAGAATTCCCCTTTGGGATATCGGGCAACCTAAGGTACGAATAGGTTTATGGGGAATATTTCTGTCCCCGCGCAGGATGGTCGTTCTCAATGCTCTTCGGGGTGGAGTTCGGATGATCCAAAGCTCGGCAGCTAGAGGGACCCGATGTGTATTGGAGAGATGAGACAAGAACGTAGGTGCAAGACAGCAGATGAAATGATTGTGCTTCTTCAATTTAGACTTTATCCCATCTTGCGCCTACGTTTTTTGGGGGCATTCTTGTCTCCGAGTTTTGGTTTAGTTTTGAAACAATTGGGAAAGAGTTAAATTCCCTGCTGGAGATATTTCCCTTCACTTCCTGTCCCGGTGATAGAAAATTGCTGCAGCAGGGACACCCTAAGAAAAACAAGTGTCTTGTACATGGAAAAAGAGTTAGAACCTCTGACAATGTTTGTACTGCTGTCCCGGTGTCAACTCCTGTCCCGGTGACAACTCATACCTCCATTTCTTGTACAGGTGTCACAGGGAAAGGATTCAACCGAGAACTACCCCAATGGAGTCAGAGACAGGCAGAGAGAAATTAAAAAAAATATAATAAAAAGATATTTATAAATATAAACTTCAGACAATTTTTTTTTAATGGTGAGATGTTATGTTAGTGTATGTAAGTCAAAACTTTTTTTCAAAGTTTTGATACAGTGGTGAGAGGTTAGAACTCGCGAGGCTTATGTTGGTGTCTGTGTTGTTGTTGTTAGAGAGATTAAAGGCTTTTGTTGACGGGCTTTGGGCTTGTGTCGATAACATCAGTCTGAGATGCTTCCAAGATCACTGGGGATTAATTGACAGGTGCAGCTGACCGTCTTCTGACCATCATTTGCTTCAAGCAAGCTTTGCATTCCTATAGACTTGTATATTAATGCAAAAGTCCATTGACACAGGCCCTAACTATAATTTCCTGGCGACCACTGTCGACAACACTCAAAAGTGAGGGAAAATACAAGCTTTTGAGTTGTCACCAGAACAGGAATAAAGGGGAAATCATTCAATGTCTAAGAGAGCACTCACCTCAATTTGGAGAGATTTCATTTCACTTTCTGTAAAAGGGAAATCTCCTCAATGGTCAGCAAACTGATGTGTATATTAATTAGGGATGCACCAATACCAATACTAGTATCGGTGCCGAGTATTTGGGCGAGTACTCGTCCCCAAATGCTTCGATGCGTAGTCCGATACTTAAGCTTCTTGTATCAGGAAGCCGGGCAGCGAGTCATTACACACTGGCCCATTACACACTTGGCCAGGAAGCCGGCTCCATGCCTCCTCATCACTGAGGGAGCATTGAGACAACTTCCCGGCCAATCAGGAAGCCTGGCAGCGTGTCATTACAGGCCCCCTGCTTTCTGATTGGCCAGAAAGCTGGCTTCATGCCCCCTGGTCACCTACTAACGAGGGAGCATGGAGCCGCCTTCCCGGCCACCCAGGAAGCCGGGCGTGTAATGACACGTTGCCCGGCTTCCTGATTGGCCAGCTTCTTGACCAATCAGGAAGCCGGGCAACGCGCCATTACACAGCACCCGGCCTCCTGATTGGCCAGAAAGCTAACTCCATGTCCAGTTGACGAGAGAGCCTGGAGACAGCTTCCCTTCTAATCGGGAAGCTGGGTGGCGAGTCATTACACGCCACCTGGCTTCCTTAATGGGACTTCCGGTATCAGCGAGTACCGGAAAAAAAATATCAGGACTTGTAGTCGATACCAAAAAGCCGGTATCGGTGCAACCCTAGTTTTAACCAACTCCTAGTCTATCCAAAATAAAAAATACATTTTGGGGTTAAGATATACTTTATTTATATTGTAAAGCGCTGCACAAACCATTTGTGCTACATACATCCTGAATAATAATAATATAAATATTTATTTATTCTATAAAAATTGTATTTCTGTCTATTGGGGAGATTTTCCCCTCTATCCTTTCCCTTTGACACCCATACAGCAAACAAAGGTAAGAGTTGTCACCAGGACAGGAAGGTAAGGACAGCAATACAAACATTTTCAGAGGTTCTAACTCTTTCTGGATGTACTAAAAACTTGTTTTTGTGTGTCGCTGCTGGAGCAATTTTCGATCACCAGGACAGGAAGTGAAGTGAAATTCCTAGCAGGGACTTTACATACACTTTAGCTCCTTCTCACGTTATCCAAAACTAAACCTAAACTTGGCTGGAAAACTGTGAGCACATTGTCCCATTTCTATGACTCATCCCAGTTTGTGGAAAGTGTATTTGTTATGTTTGTACATTATTTGTTTGTTACATTATATATTATTTACATTTCATAGTGTTTGTTATGACTCACCCAGTTTGTGCAGATGGTTTGTTACATTTTCACATTATTTATTTGTACTATTTTATATTGTTTTCATTTTACATGATTAGTTTCTTCCTTTTGTGTGACTCATCCCGCTTGTTTGGTCCAGTTGGAGCAAAGATCAACTTCATATTAATGGCCATTATATTGGAATGTGAGGTCCAAGGGGGCTCATATACAGTAGGTGTCTGCAAACCTTTAGCTAGATTTTGAATCATTCACATCGCACCAGAGGAGCTTGCACTCTAATGCCCCCCCACAGTTACACTTTATTATCATTATACATTTATATAGCTCTGACATATGCCACAGTGTTGCATGGAGAACACTGGGCCAGTCACATTGTCTGCTTCTCGTCACTAGGTTATGAGAAAGCATGGAGCTGGCTTTCTGGCCAATCAGGAAGCCGGGCACTGTGTGATGTCCCTCCACAGTCACACTCTATTATTATACATGTATATAGCTCTGACATATACTGCAGAACAGTACAGAGAACACTGAGTCAGTCACATCAGTCTCTGTACCAGAGGAACTTACACTCAAATGGCCCCTCCCCCCACAGTCACTTATTATTATTATTATTATTATTATACATTTATATAGCACTAAAATCTTCCACAGTGCTGCACAGAGAACACTGAGCCAGTCACATCAGTCTCTTCCACACAGGAACCTCCACTCTAATGTCCCCCCATAGTCACTCACTATTATTATTTATTATACATTTATATAGCACTAAAATCTTCCACAGTGCTGCACAGAGAACACTGAGCCAGTCACATCAGTCTCTTCCACACAGGAACCTCCACTCTAATGTCCCCCCATAGTCACTCACTATTATTATTTATTATACATTTATATAGCACTAAAATCTTCCACAGTGCTGCACAGAGAACACTGAGCCAGTCACATCAGTCTCTTCCACACAGGAACCTCCACTCTAATGTCCCCCCATAGTCACTCACTATTATTATTTATTATACATTTATATAGCACTAAAATCTTCCACAGTGCTGCACAGAGAACACTGAGCCAGTCACATCAGTCTCTTCCACACAGGAACCTCCACTCTAATGTCCCCCCATAGTCACTCACTATTATTATTTATTATACATTTATATAGCACTAAAATCTTCCACAGTGCTGCACAGAGAACACTGAGCCAGTCACATCAGTCTCTTCCACACAGGAACCTCCACTCTAATGTCCCCCCATAGTCACTCACTATTATTATTTATTATACATTTATATAGCACTAAAATCTTCCACAGTGCTGCACAGAGAACACTGAGCCAGTCACATCAGTCTCTTCCACACAGGAACCTCCACTCTAATGTCCCCCCATAGTCACTCACTATTATTATTTATTATACATTTATATAGCAAATTTAACCTGAGCAAATTAAAGAGCAAAATTGAGAGTTTCTGCTCTGATGAAATTCACAATTTCACTACAATATGAATTTGGCTGAAGTCACTCCGCTCATTCCTGACACTTATTTTGTATTTTGCAGACTCCAGAGGAAATCGAGAGATTAACGGTCGATGAAGACTTGAATGATATTGAAAGGGCTGTCTACCTTCTCAGGTAAGGCTTAGTGGTTTCGTTCGCTTTTGGTTGACAGTGCATGGTGCAGCTTTGGGGGTAAGGTATAAACCTTCCACCCAGGTTCAGAGCAAATATTTTCGTAAAACTTCTAGCAGGGTAGGTTGAGACTTGTAGTTCCTCCAGCATCGGCCACACCACAGCCTATGGGGCTGATATGCACTGAGTGGCCAGATTATTATGACCACCTGACGTTTGTTGACGTTTCGCGTTGAAGTTGCTAGAGGGCCAGGCCATTATAAATAGGGAAGCAGGTTGGTTACCGCGACAGTAGAAGTGATTTGTTTCTGAAGATACGGGGAAACAACACGATTTAACAGCCTTTGAACGTGGGATGATTGTTGGCGCTCGGAGCCATGGAGCGAGTATCAGCAAAACAGCAGAATCCGTTAAATGTTCAAGAGCAGCTGTTGTTAAAGTGTTTAAAGACCGGACTGTCAGCCGAAAATCTGGGTCTGAACGTGCGAATTGTGGCCGTCAGCGACTAGTCAATGTTAGGGCAGAACGGGAGAGTGGCAATACTGGTACAAGACAACAGAAGGGCAACAGTGCCGTGTCAGATTCCTCGCATCACCTTTCATCATCTCGTGGAGTCACGAGGCGGCCCAACGAAGTACTGATGGGGTGGTCATAATAATCTGGCCACTCAGTGTATAAGCTGATGGGGCTGTTCGCACAACAATGCCACTCCTATATGGCGCAGAGGAGCATAGAAATTCCCTATGCTCCTCTGCACCACCTAGTGGCATAATGCCATGTGAACTGCTTTTACGCTGGGTGGAAGGTTAATGCATCAGCCTGGTAGACCAGGGGTGGGTGACTGGCCCTCCAGCTGTGCTTTAACTACAAAGCACAATATGCCTCTGGGAGTCATGCCTGCGACTGTCAGTCTTGCAATGCCTCATGGGACTTGTAGTTCCACAAAAGCTGAAGTGCCAGAGTTGCCCACCCTTGCCATGAACTGTGGTGTGGCTAATGTTGGGGACAACTACAAATCTCAGCCTACCTTGCGAGAAATTCGGCGCTACAGATTTGATTTGCTCTAATGTATTTCTGATTGTTCCTCCTACACTGTCTGACTCGAGAAATCCCGCTGTCTTTGTCTCTCGGGGAAACAACTGTATTTTCTTTTGCAAAAATGCCATCTTTTTGCCAAAGTCCTGATCGCTTGAAAGATGTACACAAAGCTGGACTGTTGACACCGGCTAGCGTTGGCTGTATTTGCCCGCGGCGTCTGAGCTAAAAGATCGCCTCTGTCTTTGAGCTAAGCCGTTCTTTGAAGGAAACTTACATTTTTTTTTTTTTTTTAGTTTTCCGGGATTCGCTGGTAAAAAAAAAAGTATATTTACCTCAACGTCAAGTTGCAGAACCTGGTTACCAAGGCAACTAAAGCCGTATTATTGGGCCTAACGTTTAGGAGTAAACTCCATATGGTCTGTGGGCACCTAAAATATCCAGTTGTAAATGAATACTAAATATCACGGTTCTGTTCAATTGATTGATTGTTTTTGTATAAGTTTTATAATGTACGGATGTCGTTTTATCAGGTTGTGCTCGCACTGATGCATGCCGTAAAGAGGATATTTTCCTTTGGTCCACTACTGCCAACAATTGCCTTTGATTATATTTGCCGTCGCACTTCCTGTTTTATTGTTTTGTTGTTTTGTGTACTTGCCGTTGCTGTTGCTTTTTGCCATCTAGAAGCAAATTCCTCCGCTCAATTAAAGTGCCCGTGCCTCAGTCATTTGTCGCCTGTATAGTTGGGCAGTGAAGGTCAGGTTCAGATTTGGTGCAATATGTAAGGGCCCTTTAACTTCTTTGCGTTAACATGCCTTATGAACATGTATTCCAGAATCCTGCTGCACTCCTTACCGGGTATCCCTGTCAGCGCGGGTGCTCGCTGTCAGGGGTGTCACAAGGGGGGTGCAGGGGGAGCGGCCCGCTCCCGGCTGACACCATTGGAAGGGTGACACCAAGATGACTGACAGTCATTTTGGTGTCACCCCCCCTCTGAAAAGTCGGGCACTCGGTCATGGACTGAGCGCCCAACAGTTTCAGAGAGAGGAGGGGACCCGGCGGCATACCTTATCCTACCGGATGACTGTCCCCTCCTCTATCTGCCAGCATCCATTACCACGATGGGCGATGGCAGGCATCAATAGGATCGCCGCGCTGTGACGTCAAGCTGGGGTGTCACCCGGTAACCGCTCCAGGTGACACCCGGCCTCAGGACGCCCGTGTTCGAAGTGACCGCGGATAGTGCCGCCAATACAGAAACGTGTTATTGATGTCACCAGCACACCATATTGAAGTGAAGAGCACGTCTGTTTATTGACGATTCATGTCAAAACAAATAACAACGTTTCGGGGCCACACAGGGTCCCTTTCATAAGGCTTGAAATGACCATGCCATTTCAAACCTGATAAAGGGGACCCTGTGTGGCCCCAAAACCTTATTTGTTTTGACATAAAGTGTCAATAAACAGACGTGCTCTTCACTTCAATATGGTGTGCTGGTGACATCTTTAACAAACATGCATTATGAAGCGTGACAGCGTGCGTTGCGTTACCGCAGCGCATTACAATAAATAGGCTGCCAATGCACCCTAATATGCTGAAAATCGAAAGTGACCCTTTTATTGTAACTCAACGCACCTCAATGCACTACAATGAATGTTCAAAATGAATGGCACCGCAATGCAGTAGCGGCTTATTGTAAACAGCTATCAGGAAGCAAAACACCTATGTGAAAACCCCACAGATGGAAGCTGCCGTTCTCTGACTCACCAGTCTCCTTGTAAGAGATTCCTTCTGAGGAGTAATTTTCTAGCACAATTGCAGCTGTCACAGGAACAACTCACCGGTGCACTTAATTCACCTTTTCTGGAATGCTTTTATGTTCCTTAAGTCACATTTTTTACCAGCTGAATAGAAAGTTATAAAGGGGCTTATAGCTGAATAGAGACATCTTCTCCACCTGGATATGTTATTGATGAAGGAAACAGATCTATGGTGGATGTGGGAGTCTGTGGGCGGGGTATTGGAATCTGGAAGCTCCCCCTTAACATAAGGGGGCCCCCAGTTGTCTGCCTCTTCCCAATGCTAATGAGTAAGGGGAACATAGTGCCCTTGGTTACTCAGTTACAAAAAAAACATTACAAAGTAAATAAACACACAGACACAGGAAGATGTCTTCCCCCCAAAATCCCCAAATAATGTCCTATGTTGTAGATCCATTGCTAGTCATGTTGTCTAGTGATGTAGATCCATCTTCAGTCAAGCCATCTAGCGATGTAGGTCCATCATCAATAACACTGCCAAGCACTGTAGATCCATCGTCAATCACGTTGTCTAGTGATGTACATCCATCATTAATCCCGTTGCCTAGTGATGTAGATCCATCGTCAATCACGTCCTCTAGCGATGTAGATCCATCGTCAGTCACGTTCTCTAGTGATGTAGATCCATCCTCAATCATGTTGTCTAGTGATGTAGATCAATTGTCAATCATGTTGTCTAGTGATGTAGAGCCATCATCAATTACGTTGCCTAGTGATGTAGATCCATAGTCAATCACGTCCTCTAGCGATGTAGATCCATCATCAATTACGTCGTCTAGTGATGTAGATCCACCTTCAATCACGTCCTCTAGCGATGTAGATCCATCATCAATCACGTTCTCTAGTGATGTAGATCCATCCTCAATCATGTTGTCTAGTGATGTAGATCCATTGACAATCATGTTTTCTAGTGATGTAGATCCATTGTCAATCACGTTGTCTAGCGATGTAGATCCATCACCAATCACATTGTCTAGTGATGTAGATCCATCACCAATCACATTGTCTAGTGATGTAGATCCATCGTCAATTACGTTGTCTAATGATGTAGATCCATCCTCAATCATGTTGTCTAGTGATGTAGATCCATTGTCAATCACGTTGTCTAGTGATGTAGATCCATTGTCAATCACGTTGTCTAGTGATGTAGATCCATTGTCAATCACATTGTCTAGCGATGTAGATCCATCACCAATCACATTGTCTAGCGATGTAGATCCATTGTCAATCATGTTGTCTAGTGATGTAGATCCATCACCAATCACATTGTCTAGCGATGTAGATCCATCACCAATCACATTGTCTAGTGATGTAGATCCATCACCAATCACATTGTCTAGTGATGTAGATCCATCCTCAATCATGCCATCCTGTGTTGTAGAGCCATTGCCCATCATGTCGTACAGTGATGTACATCCATTGTCAATCACGTCATTCAGCAATGTAGATCTATGAACAACTACCTGCCAACTTAAACACAACCATCTCCTCTTGATGAACTCTTGCCACAAATTACATTTACCCAGTTGACTGCTGAATATCAACAAACAGAATAGTGATGCTGGCTGAAATCATTGACCAAATATGATTTATATTTGATCAATCATGTCACTTGGGATGCCCGCACAGTCTTGTTGGTTGCTAAGACCCAGACAGCCGGGGCTGCACATTTTCAGGGCTGCATGGTTGTTATGGTGCAGACAGCCACCAATAAGGAGGGGCCCTGAGCAGGAATTCATTTATTGGCAGCAGTAGTACCTGCAAAATGCAAACAGCTTGGGTTCAGGTTTGAACTCCTGGTCAACCTGAACCCAAAGCTCATCCCAACCCAGGTTCTAGCTGAAAGGTATATGACCTCATCCTTGCCTAGGCAAAAGATGGGGGTACATCTAAATCTTTTTGATAGGCGGTACATTTTGGAAATACCAAGATTAGATTGATTTTGAAAGAGGGAACGGACCTTCACAGTATAAGCGGACTATAAGCTTGCACTTTACTCCAACGTCTGCTTTAAAGTCAATTTTTGCCTTTATTATGTTCTCTATGGCCATATTTGTCAACCTTTTTTCAGTCTTGGAATCATTTGAAAGTATGCAAAATCGCGAGTCACCCCAGTCTAAAATGTAACAAACATAAATGTAC